AATCGGTCTTGGGACGCCTGAGCTTTGTCGCGGGGGCGCTGAGGCACGTGCGCCCTTTTCTGGCTCCGCTATTTTCATGGTCGGCTTCGATGGCGCCTGGGACCTTCTCAAAGTTTCCCGATGCGGTGGTGATCCTTTTGGAGTTTGTGAAGGAAGAGGTGCAAAGGAGACCCATGAGGCCGGTGGAGCCGTTGGAGAAGTCCCCGGTGGATGTCTTCAGAGTGGATGCTAAAGCCGCCGGGGAGGAGATCGCGATTGGCGGCTGGGAGACTGGACCCGTCCCAGATCAGAAGAAGGCTCGCTGGTTCTCATTTCGATTGAGCAGGAAGACGGCTCCTTGGGCTTACCTGAGGGGAGATCCATTCCGCAACATAGCGACGCTGGAACTGATTGGAGTGCTCGTGGCGGTGATGGTCCTGGCACCTGGAGCGAAATGGGCTATGGGCGGCGCCAAAGTGACGCTGACGGCGCTGACAGACAACTTGGCCAATACCCATGTGCTGCGTCGCTATGGATCCAGCAAGTACCCTTTGTCGATCGTGGCCATGGAGTTGGCGGTTCAACTGGACTATGTTGGCATAGACCTGCAGCTGCATTGGGTGCCGCGCGCACAAAACCAGCCGGCTGATGATCTCACGAACGAACGCTTCGAAGAGTTCAGTGAGGAAAACCGGCTGGATGTGGACTTCCAGGAGTTGCCTTTCAAGGTCATGAACAAGCTCCTGGACCGTGCAGGAGAGTTGGACGCCGAGCTCAAGCTCTACAAGACGTCGAAGGAGGCGAAGCTGGCTCAGTTGAAGGCTCATTCGGCAGAGCACGGCACGAAGAGCAAGAAGGGGGAAATGCGGTGGAAGGATCCTTGGTGAGGACTGTGGGAGACCAAAGTCTAAAAGATTTCAATGTTTCCACCGTAGGAGGTAAGAAACCTAGTAAGAGGGGATCGAGGGGGTGCAGACCTCATCTCCTCTAAAGTTGGGGAAAGATAGTCGAAGAGGTCAGACACGATTGATAACCCCCCTTG